GCATATTTTGAAATCAGTTTTTGGACCAGATTAAATACTATGAATAATCATGTGATCATTATTCAGTACATGTTCACACCAAACAAAAAAGGAGCAAGGATCAAGATTGTGTAATTTCCCCCAATGTGGGATGCATTATTTACTTTGCTGAGGGACAGCTTTACGTGAATTAATCAAGCAAGCTGCAAAATATCTATTCACGCCTTTTTCCCACTCCCTTCCTGCTTCTGTTTAAAACACAACATCACTTGAAGTTTTAAGATTAATAAGATTAATGAAGACTGGTAACCCAAGGATCGTTTCCAAGAACTGTTCCAGTAAATTTATGTTATGCTGTAGAAAGGCATAATACCCCAAAGTTACCTGGTGAGGTCTACATATAACTGTTAGCTTTGCAGATTCCCAAACTGTGCAACTGGGGTATCCAGGAGCACTGGGACTTCTTGGAATAAGTACATAATTCTGTGAAAGTTGCCAGGCAAGTTGAAATAGTTATTAAGAAGGCTTACAGGATCCTTGAGTTTATAGATAGAGGCATAGAATAAAAAGCAAGGAAGTGATGTTACATTTCTACAAATCATTGACCAGACACATTTGGAGTATTATGTTCAATACTGGGCACCTCGTTCAAGGAAGAATGTTAAAGCCCTAGAGAGAGTTCAAAGGAGATTTACTAGAATAATCCCAGGAATGAGGAATTTTAGATATCAGGAAAGATGAGAGAAATTGGGCTTATTCTCCATGGAGCAGAGAAGATTAAAAGATGACCTTAATGAGGTGTTCAAAATTATGAACAAATTTGACAGGGTAAAGAATTTTTTGTTTCTGCTAGTTGGTATGTCAGCAACTAGTGGTCACAATTCCAAGATTGTCAGCAGACAGCTAGATTGAGATGAGGAGAAATGGCTTACCTGAGAGTTCTTAGGATTTGGAATGAGCTGCCTGGTAGAGTGGTGGAGGCAGGTTCCACAGGACATTTCAAAAGAGAGGTATAAATCAGGAACAAAAACAAAAGTTGTTGGAAAAGCTCAGCAGGTCTGATAGCGTCTGTAAAGAAAAATCAGAGTTAATGTTTTGGGTCTGGTGACGCTTCCTTATAACTGAAAGAGCTGAATATATCTTTGAACGTAATGAAGTTAGAGGGCTACAGAGATAGGCTGGAGAATGAGACGAGCAGAGTAGCTCTTTTGAGAGCTGACACAGATATGAAGGGCTGAATGGCCTCTTTCAGTCCTGTAAAATTCTATGATTCTAAGTTGCAGTCCAGCAGGCTAGTAATTCACATAAACTTAGCCTATCTCTGCCTGTCTAGGTGGAGCAACAACTGCAGGTTGGCATTTAGAGGTGTTTTAACAACACCACGCCACTCCCTACATCAACCTTCTTTCCTGTTTCTCCTCTCCATTAGTGGAACCTGGCTACAAAAGTGTTTTCTAATTGAAACTTTAAAAACCTCAGAAAAAGACTGCCTTGATTTTGAAGCACCCTTTCACTTATCTGTTCTGGCATCCTGCTCCCAGTTTCAAGCTGGAAAAGTACTGATTGTTTGTCTGATCCAGGAAGACAGATTGGATTACTGCTTCCCACATCTGGTGGGCTATGATGCCCATTTGAATTTAGCAGTGAGTTTCAAAAATCAACAGGGAAAAACTTGTGTGACATTTCAGTCTGAAAGTCTTTCATTAGAACTGAGTCATAGAGTCTTTGAGATATACAGCATGGAAACAAACACTCCAGTCCAACTTGTGCATGCTGACCAGATATCCTAAACTGTTTTAGCCCCATTTGTCAGTATTTGACCCATATCCCTTTAAACCATTCCTTTTCATGTATCCACCCAGATACCTTTCAAATGTTGTAATTGTACCCAGCTCCACCACCTCCTCTGGCAGCTCATTCCATGCACGTACAACCTTCTGCATGAAAAAGTTACCTCTCAGGTCCCTTTTAAATCTTTCCCCTCTCACCTTAAACCTATGTCCTCTAGTTTTGGACTCCTTTACCCTGCAATAAAGACCTCGGCTATTCATCCTATCCCTCAAGATTTTATAAAACTTTATATGGTCACCCCTCAGCATCCAGCGTGCTAGGGTAAAAAGGCCCTAGTCTTTCAGCTTCTATCTACAGATCAAAGCCTCCAATCCTGCAACGTCCTCGTAAATCTTTGTTGAGCCCTTTCAAGTTTAACAAAATCTTTTCTGTAGTATGGAGACTAGAATGGAATGCAGTATTCCAGTAGTGGCCTAACCAACATCCTGGACAACCGCAACATGATGTCCTAACTGCTATATTCAATGCACTGACCAATGAAGGCAAGTGTGCCAAATGCCTTCTTCACCACCCTGTCTATCTGCGACCTCACTTTCAAGGAACAATGCTCCTGCACCCCTAGGCCTTTTTGTTTGGCGGCACTGCCCAGTGCCCTACTATTAACTGTGTAACTGACAAAAGATTAGCAACCTGAAACATTGGGCTAGATTTTATTCTTTGTGGTAAATGAATGACAGTATCTATTCATTACATACAGACTTGGCCACAAACGTTCTATGGGGTTTTACATTAGAATGTAACTGTATTTAATGACTCTTCACAGCACAGAGTCTTCTGCTGGGAATCTGGAACTTGTATGAACAGAGTTGGATTGAATGATCTTTAATGAACAATGCAGAGTGTAATTTAGCACATGCCAGATAGGATTCAATTGTTAAATCATGTACAGAATGTGACAGAAAGAGTGGGAAAGAAAGATGGGGTTAACATAGAAATAAAAACAGGCAAGAACAAAAGTTAAAAACTGAAGCATACTTGTAAAAATTAATTATTGGTTCAAGAAAGGTTGTTTGCCATGAATTAAAATGGCATTTTCTCCTGTTTGATACTGTGGATGGGAGTCAGCCTGTTAGATGGCAACCCATATGCCACCCCCCACTACAGAGATAACTCGCTTGATGGCCCTCCCATCAGGCCTCAACAATGGTGGCCTGGGTTGCCAGCAGCTGCAGGCCAGTCAGAGGCCAGCCGGTTCTGTGCCATAAATACCACCATTTGAAGTCTACTCCTTGGGCAATCCAGCAGTGATGTTTGGGGATTGCAGGAGGTGGCGGTGGTGTCAGAGGCAAGAGCAAAAGGTGGCTTTTAAAGACTCCCCTCTTGCACCCCATCTATAACTTTGATTGCCTCCAAATTGGGGAAAATTGAGGTCTTGCCCACCTTGGCAGGCAGGTTGCTCTCATTTCCAGTTTACCATCCTTTGCACACACTGGAAAGGCATGGTATTAATTGACAAGTTGAGGTCTTTAAATGGCCACTTATTTGGTGTCAGGTTGAGAAAGTTGTGCATGGACCTTCTCACTTAGAACTTAATTAGTGAGGTAGCTGTAAAGGGGCAAATGTTTCTCCAGGGTGAACATGCTCAATTATTTACTTTTGTCACCACCTCTGGAGAAGGGACATTTCTACTCTGACAATTTCGACATTGCTACATTGAAATAGACAAGCCCAAACTTTTCGGACTTGTTCAGTAATCAGCTAAAAATCATGTTGGGTTTTATGAAGTGAAGATGTTAATTATATATGTTATATAGGTATTTCACAGGAATGTGTTTATACCGATGGGACTGGTGAGCAATTGGTTTTGTCAACAAAGCGAATTCTCTTGCCAATTTTCACAATGAGACCTGTATTACACTTGACAAACTACATCGCAATATTGTTTCAAAGGATGAACTTGTAGAAATAACATCACCTCACAACTTGCACACCACTGTTCTGCATAATAATGGAAGAGGGCAAAGGTCTGAGAATAGTATTCCATGACAATAGCATACATCTATTATCACTCTATTCCCTGTTTGGGTGGTGTTGCATTTGCTATTACTGCATACCGGTTTTTATTTTTACCTAGGCAAATGTCCTCTTCTAGAAATTCAGGTATGATTTCCCATTGGCAAGGTCAGTGCTGATGCTGGTGTGAATTTCGATATTACTGGAATAGATGAAATCTGGGGCCAGTTTCGTTCTTCATTCCAGACAGGATTAGATTGTATGTAGGGATGAATGGATTAACAGAATGACTAAAGCTTTATATGTTCCTCCTCTATTGTTTCCATGGCTCCTCTCCTGAAATAACAGCGCAAGTGACAAAACACAATGGAAAGTACCCATATTATTTGTATATCTGAATCAAATTTAATTGAAATATTTTCTTCTGAACCAGGTTTGGATAGCTCATCTGAGAAACGTGTTCCCATATCTTTGGAGGAAACAATACTAGGTCGAAACCGTGGTAAGTATATATTTATGTTCTTATGGAGAAATATGAAATTTAAAAATTATTTTTTAGAAAATGTCTACCAGGAAGATGATGCTGATGTTGAGAAATATAAGTTTTCTGCTCTGGGCAACCATGTTAAGTATCGAACAAGCCTAGATTTACTGAAGCAGCATCAATCATGGGCAAATTGCTGAATTGTCAGGGAAATACTCCCAGTGCACCACAAACTTTCAATTTTCCCTTCAAGCCACATTTAGAACCATAGAAAGGAGGCTGATTAGTTTGTTCAGCATCTAATCAAAATTCCATTCTAATCCAAAATGCCAATGGTCTTTTTATGGCTCTGTCTACCTTACTCTCACATTTAATGAGATTGAAAGAGGCACATTAGAAAACAAGAAGAACAGTTACCCCTCAAGACTGCTCATCTTCCTAATTTCACTCCTGAATGGACTAGCTCTAATTTTTAAAACTGCTCCTCCATATTCTGGATTTCTTCATCAGACAAAATTATTTCTCTTTAGTACTTCTCAATTGAGTCCTTTTATTGTTCTAAATACATCAATCTGATCACTGATTATTATTTAAATCACATGTTTCTCTGTTCATCCACACTTTTGTGTGAGGACTGCAAAATATATTATCCCAATTTATATCAGCAACTATTATCTGTTTTCTCATTTTGGTCAATTGTCTGGGAGAGAAATTTATCTTAAATGATGGGACAATGGGCAGTATGGGGCCAGATACCTGATATACTCTACGTCTAATGTTCAGTTTCTTTGCAGTCATTAACAGGTGTCTGAAATAATGCTGCCTGTCTTGCATTACCACCTGAGATAAATTTCTCCTCTTCTGTTTTCCCAGTATCTTTTACCCATTGATTTGGCTACTAAATATGAAGATTATGGGCAATTTGTTGGAGGTGTCTCATTTGCTGCAGTGTGACTGTTATTCAAGGCACATAGTAGCTTTTCTCACCAAACAACATGTTGCTATTGTGAAGAGTTGGGATACTGGGATTCCTTAAAGAGAAAATAACAGATCAAGAAGAATATCTGAATTTGAGTGCACATGGTTAGGTTATTGTGACCATAGGTCAGGCCATTTCCTTCTATCATCGTTTAATGGAATCTCAACTGTTTTCTTTCAGGGTTTTGCAGCACATGGGGAAATGGAGCGTTCAGGACTTTTGATGACAAGTTTTATCATTTTACATCAACCTGCAACTACATTCTGAGTCACCACTGCAAAAATGGTGCAGAGGATTTCAACATCCAGATCCGTCGAGGGTCAGATGGTAATCTGGAACATGTATTCATCCAGATAGAAGGGGTCAAAATTCTGGTGGTGAATGGGACAATTTCAGTTCAAGATGCAGTGTAAGTTTTTTCTGTATCTCCTCTTAAATTACTGAATGTAACTGAATCATATTGTATATCCCAAACTCAAAATCTTAAATCTTTGATCCCTGATGCTATTGGCCCTTAGGAACAGATTTTCTTTGTTTAAAGCTGTCATAACCTTGGCATTCTCCCTAAAATGTTATGTTGTAGGTGCATTCACAGGGCTGTTAGAGAAGGAACTTCAGGATTTTGTTTTAGTAACAGTGAAGGAAGGGGAATGTAGTTCAACATCAGGATTGTAGGGTGCTTGCAGGATGTTCTCCTGCATTTATAGACCTTATCCTTCAAGGTGCTATAGGTTGTGGGTTTGGAAGTTGCTGCTAAAGGAGCATTTCTCAGTTATTGGTGTGTACCTTTGACAACACCCCAGGGAGTAACTTACTGCAGAATTCCCAGGCTTTGACCTCTTGTAGCCATAATACAGATAGTTCTCATTTAACATTATGGTTCCATTTCTCAAAATTGCAATTTTAATGGGTTACCATACAAATCAATCTTAAAGACAGAGTTAGGTTCCTTTGAAAAATTTTTGCACAAAAAATCCAATAGGTAAATTGAAATATTGTACTGTACGCATGCAGCACTGTACATTCCTCACTGAAGTCCTGCAAACCAATATAAATCACTGAATATAAAGAAATATTGCTTAAATTCACAATTGTTGTGCCATGTGCTGCACCTATTTTAGCAAAGTGATATTTATACCTCTTAATTTAAATGGAATGTTCAACATAGAGTCATGGTACATACCATTTACCCAACGAACAAGGCCTACATTTATGCAATAAAATTACTGCATCTTGTGGAATATTCCTTATATCACAAATCACTGAATTTTGAAGTACTAAAGAGTATCTTGGTGTAATTATTACTTACAACACAGTTTCTTCACAGCAAACCGCCACTGCAGACAGGAGCTCTGCTTCTGACCAATGCTGAAAGAAGTTTGCTTGGGTGCAAACTATAAATTCCCCTCCACTCATTTCTCTTTGGCCTTTCAATTGTGTGATGCAAATATTACATGCTGCATATCAGCTTAACCTGATGTTGGTCAGGTCTAGCTGCAAATTGACATGGACTTGTTTGGTACCTGAGAAGTCATGAATGGTGCTGAACATTGTGCATTCATCAACAACATCTGTGCTGTTGCTATTATGTTGGAGGGAAGGTCACTGATGAAGCAACCGAAGATGGTGTTTTATCCGACACAACCCTAAGGAACTCCTGCAGTTATCTCCTGGGAAAAGGATAATTAGCTCCAATAACCCCAACCATCTTTCTGCTGCTTTGACTCCAATTAGTAGAGAGTATTTCTCTGAACTGTATTTAAATCAATTTTTCTGGACTCCTTGATGCTTGGTCAAATACTGCCTTGATTTTGAGAGTGGTCATTTCCCCCTCAGCGCTAGATATGTTGCCCCCTTTCCCATGTTTAGACCAAGGCTGAAATGAGATCAGGTGACAAATGGCTCTGACAAAATCCAAACTAAGTATCAGTGAGCAGGTTATTCCTGTGCATGTTTCTCTTCATAGTCCTATCAACTATGCCTTCCATCACTTTGCTGATGAAGTATAGATTGATGGGATGTTGCTACAATTCATGTGAAGGATTAATAGTGCTTTGAGTGGATGTAATGAGCCAACATCTTGCTGCAAATTTCATATACACAACCTAATTTGAAAACATTCTTGGTCATCTAAAGTTGAATCTTGAGATATTTATTCTTTGTACAAGTTGAGATTTTAATAATTTCTCACTTTAGCTTAGAATAACAGCTTCATTTGCAAATTACTTTGTTTTACAGAATACATCTACCATATCATGACAAGGTAATTGGCATCTATAAAAGAGGAATTTACACACAACTTTCAAACAGAAAGCATACTATATCTGTGAACTGGAATAATGAAGATGCATTATGGGTAAGTCAGCTTTATCCCATAGTTCTATTCATTTATAGTTTTACACATCTATACCCACCAGAGTAAATAGATATGGCACATTTATAAGTCCGGCGTTCTTAAACAGAGTATAATTTTTATTCTTTGGAGAAACATATACATCTGCAAATATGTTCATACATGTCTGTTTTTCAGTGTTTTATTTGCTATTAGTCAATAATTGTTTCCTGAAATAACAATTATCTTGAATAAATATTTAGAAGTGAGGCAAAGGCAAAATCTCTAAAATTGCCAACAATAGTCTGCATCATTCTGGGAGTCTGTAAGTTACCAAGGAAAGAAGAACTAAATAGATTTAAATAGTCTTCCTCATATATATTCATGCAGCGATTAATACATTTGAGGGTTGATAAATGATTTGGATAATGCTGTAATGACAAGAGCAAAGGTTCCAATCTGTTCCACTGTCATTCAAACTTTTGTTGCCTGGTTATATGCTGGTAGCTTATTGTGGATTTATAAAAGACATGTATCATGTAGTATTTATCCAAGCTGAACATCTGGAACAGGAAGAAGCTTCATGTTTCAAAACAATGGTATTTGATCAGATGATATTTTTATAGAAATGTTCCTTAGTTTGAGCAATTCCTTGGATCTGGAGAGTAGAAAACTCTTTCATTGTGTGTGCTGAGGATCAATATCAAGTATTCTAAGACATGTACAAATGGAGTCTAAATTTCCTTCAGCTCACCTGAAAATTTCAGCGCTTTGTCAGCATGATGTTTTCCATTGTCAGTCATCTGATGACATGTACCGTTATATTCATTCTTGGAATGGCGGGGTTGTTTAATTCCCAATTGCCCTTGAATACCTTGTCAGGCCATTTCAGATGGCAGTTAAAAATCAACCACATTGCTGTGTGTGTGAAGTCCCGTGCAGGCCAGATCTAGGCTATCTTCTCCTGAATGCTATTGGTTAACCACACGTGATTTTATGACAATTCAGTAGTTTCACGATGAACAGTAATGAAATTGGAATTTTATTACACAATTATCAACTAATTGAATCTAAATGCTCCCAGCTGCTGTATTGGGAATTGAACTCTGAGTATTAGTACTGGCCTCTGGATTAATCACTCAATAACATTGCTACTACATGACCATCTTTGGAGATTGTTGGTTTAATAGATTTAAGTATGGTAGAGATAGAAACCAATAATTTCTTGCGTATTCTTTGTATGAATTGGAACTGTCATGCAATGGTTTTTTAAATACATGCCTAACACTTTGTAATTAATTTTTATTTGTAGGTAACTATCGATGATAAATATCAAGGACAATTGTGTGGCCTTTGTGGGAACTTTGACAAAAACAGCAGCAGCAATTATGGTAATACAAATACAAAGAACATATGGTTATTTTCCTGGTTAGGTTTTGAATGTTTTAGTTGCTCAGTATCGTTATCAGACAATTGCTCACATGTGCTTTCTCATTCCGGTTAATATCATTCAATAAGTTCAATTCTTATACTTTCTTTTTACAGATTCGAATTTTCTAAATACAAACAAACTAGATGTTTTGGGCCACACTTGTCATAGTAACCCCCAATCAAGTGAATCATGTGAAGCGAGTTCTGTAAGTTTACAATCAGACATATCTTTTAGAAGTAATTATAGCTAAACTGGGAGGTTTGATAGCAGAGGTTTCGTTCCCTTACTAGGTGACATCCTCAGTGCTGTGGACCCTCCTGTGAAGCGCTGTTGACCTGTGCCGTTTCGAATTTATATAAGGTCTGGTTTTTATTGCTTCTGGTAGGTGCCTGTTCTGGCTGTGTGTTCTAATGGTCAGAATATCGGGTCTCATTCAATGGATCATCCACGGACTCCATCAACAAACGCAATGAATTAGACCCGAAATGCCGGCCATTACAACGCACAGCTGGATCAGGCAACAAGCGGAAACAGCAAAAACCAGACCATATATAAATTCGAACTGGCACAAGACAACAGTGCTTCACAGGAGGCTCCACAGCACTCAGGATGTCACCTAGCAAGGGGACAAAACATCTGATATCAAACCTCCCAGCTCGATGAACACACCAACATCTACAACCAGCACCCGAGCTACAAACCTTCACTCACACTCTTATTATCGCTAAACCTTTAATCTGACAGTCACATCTTTAGCTTTAGAGATTATATCTTTATACCTTATGACTCCCAAAGCATCTCTGAGACTTGTGCTGACACAGGTGCACAAGCAAAATTTCACCTGGAAAATTTGCTTACAGTGAACATAGAGATCAATAAGTAACCCTTACATTCTAACGAAGTCTTACATTTATAACCTGAGATACATACAGGTGATTACAGTTCAGTTTGAAGGGCGTAAGTCCCTTTTATCTCTATCCCTTTGAAGCTTCCTTAACATTTCATCAGATTTGATATTCTAGGCGTTTTCTGACCAAACAGCCAATGAATTTGATCCACAGTGAGTTTGGCTGTTTCTGTTCTTTTCTAAACAAAACTCATGTTGGAAATAAAGTTTTGTATGTCCTTAGACTATTCCCTGTTATGACATGTGTCACTCTTCCATCTTGCCCACTTTTTCCCTGTGTCTGGCAAATGGAAATTTCGCTATGATAATTGGATGAACAGATTTAAAGTTGAGCCATGGGTATTGTGGACAAATACTCTGTGGCTCCACTGGTGAAATGTAGGTGAAACCCACCATCATGAGGGTATCATGGATGGGATTGTGCAATGATGTTGGAGCTCTGGTGAAATTCCTAATCCTCTTCCTCCTGCTTCAAAAAGGCTTTGCACCCATACATTCTGATGGTTCAGTCCTCCTTACTGTACTGTGTTGTGCAGGGTGCAGGACATTACTATCATTCACAAGCCCCTGGCTGGTGTGTATTGAAGATAACACCTCCAGATCTGTCTAAAGCTCAGATGCTGGCATCTTTAGTATGCCAGCTGCTTGTTCAATGAAATATCTCATTTTTAAATGGCTGTGAATGTAGTTATTTGAACCTCATTGTTTGGTCTTTTCCTGGATATCATCAGGGGTAATGCTTAAAACCAACTGATTTATTTATTTTGAGGTGTGAGATGCTCTGTAAGGTTGGACTGGTACATGACTTTATTATGGAAACTCCCTCATAATCTTGCATACAGATACACAATTGTGTTTGCAGACTAGGTGAAAAAAAAACGTTTAAAACACTCCTGGGTGATTTGCTGGTGCTTTGATTGCCACTTGAACATAGAACATAGAACATAGAACATAGAACATTACAGCGCAGTACAAGCCCTTCGGCCCTCGATGTTGCGCCGACCTGTGAAACCAATCTGAAGCCCATCTAACCTAAACTATTCCATTGAGTGCAGTAATTGACATCTTTGCACTTCAGAGAAGTCAACCAGAGGTGGAAACCTATCTCTCTCGAGACAAATTCTCTCTCAGGCCTGAATGTGCTGGATCTTAAATTAAAGTTAATGTATTGTTCTTCCCCAATCAACCTGTTCAGAGATATCAAACTAGGGCGCCCTGGTGGCTCAGTGGTTAGCACTGCTGCCTCACAGTGCCAGGGACCCAGGTTCAATTCCACCCTCAGGCAACTATCTGTGTGGAGTTTGCACATTCTCCCTGTGTCTGCATGGGTTTCCTCTGGGTGCTCTGGTTTCCTCCCACAGTCCAAAGATGTGCAGGCTAGGTGGATTGGCCATGCTAAATTGCCCATAGTGTTCAGGGATGTGTAGATTAGGTGGGTTATAGGGGAATGGGTCTGGATGGGACGCTCTGAGGGTCAGTGTGGATTTGTTGGGCCAAAGGGCCTGTTTCCACACTGTAGGGATTCTTTGATATCTCTGAAGCAGATGGGACTTGAATCTGGGTCTCTCAGTCCAGGGGTAGGGACATTATCACTGCACCACAAGAGGGCCCAAAGCATGCTTTTAATTTTGACACTCTTAACCCTTATCACATGCTCCCTGCAATCTGCTTCCAAACCAATTTTTTCCTTGGAAGACAAAACTGAACTTCAATCCATTTTGTGGATTTTTGTCCATTAACATCAAAAGGGTCAATATCTTAAAAGAAAAGGAAGGGACCTTATCTTGAACTTGCATGTGAACATGAAGTAATTTTAAAGGCCAAAGTAAAAGAATGTGTAAACTATGAAAATTGCTGTTTAGACCCCAGTGCCCACTTTCAATATTTGAGAATTTGAATTCATTTGGGTCATAGTAACCCTAAACTGTCAGGAAGTATTTCTAGTTGCTAAGTTACAAACCAGCAATCCTGGATTTTTTTTACAGTCAGTTGTGTAAAGTTATGTCAGTTCTTTGGCCCTTAAAGGATGATTGATAGCTTTACTTAGTTCTGGTTACTGTTATGAATAAGGTTGGGGAATGACACATTCAGCAGATTTTCAAGAGTACAGCTGGATCAAGGTTTTAGTTATGGCACTGAACCCTCGAAAAGGATTTTTTTCTAAAAATTTTCTGCCCTTCAGCAGGCTACACTCAAATGAACTCCAAACGTTATCTGAGGCAAGACATAAACACGAGGCTGGGGTCTTGTAAATCTGGCTTGAGGCTTGACTGCTTAGTTATCTCAAACCATGTGATTTCTAAGATAGTATTGAGAAAAAAGTGTCCTGCTGTCCTTTTCATGACTGTCCAAAAAAAATAAACAGGTTGGTGTCTTCTGAGCCCTCCAGATGAACCAATTGTTTAGACAGGAGTCCTCGAAAGAAATGCATAATGAAGCATCTTCACATCATTATATTAATCTCCACCTGACACCCCTGCCCTGGGACCTGATACAGAAATATGAGCACATCTTGTTTGGAGTTTAGCAAGTAAGTAGCAATCTAATTTCTCTTGTTATTAATGTTTATTTTCAGCAGTGTCAGGCAATTTCATCTCTGTTCCTGTCGTGCTTTGACAACAAAGTGATTGGGCAATACTGGAAGCTTTGTCAGGCAGATGTTTGCAGCTGTAAATGGTGTCAATGTGCAACTTTTGCAGAAATTGCACGGCATTGTGATAAAGCTCTCTTCCAGTACTGGAAAAACTGGAGGACAAAGACGCGGTGTGGTAAGTAGTTTCTGTCAATAAAATGTAAATAAAAGGTTGATCAAGTTTTACTCTCAAATTAAACCTGATTTAATGAGTTAAAGTGTTGGAATCGTAACATTTCAATAGTCAAAATAATAAAACTTAACATTTTATCCTCAGCATTCCCCACCTGTCCAGGGAATCAGATATACAAGGAGTGTGGCCCTTCCTGTATTTCAACATGCACTGATCGGAATCCCCAACAACAGTCCAATGAGTGTGTGAATACTTGTGTCTGTCCAGAAGGTATTTACATTGATGGCCCTGTTGTTTTGCCTGTATTATTCATTATTTAAATATTGCTCAATTCTTGTGACATTGTGTATTAACTTAAGAAATCTGGATTTATTCTGATTGAAAAAGAAATGTAAAAGGGCAAAACAGCAGCAGAAGCAGTTAATGATGGAGATATAGAAAACTATTTGTGCAAAACCAAGACATAAAATGGAAACCCATGATTATAATGGGAAGGCATCACAAAATGGGAAAATGTCACAAAATTGGGTTATGCAGCGCCAAACAGAGAGAATAGTGCAAACTGTGCCACTGGGAACCTCTGGTATGCCTCCCATACCTGCTGGGAAGGCAGTCTCAATTGTACTTTTGTTTGTACTGAAAACACCAGGAGAGGTCCAATAGCGACATTATGGCTGACCTGACACAAATCGTCATAAATTGATGGAGCAGGTTCAGTGAACATTTGTGTGAGTCCGGGCCAGGGATTGAGATCATGGGCCTCAATGTTGCTTTTGTCCCCAGTCCTATTCCATCCCTGACACCTAACCTAACCTTCTTGCAGATCTCCTAGTGCCCCAGACCTTGGTTACTGGGCCCTGATGTCCTGGTCAACTCCTGGTGCTAATCACTATTTAACTCAACTTTTAGAGGAAGAGCTTTTGACTTTATATCTCCTGTTTTGAACCTACTGGAAGTATTGAGATTTGTTTTTGGATGTCTAAGAGTAAGCTGGTGCATCCATCAAGGAGCTGAAGGGATTTGGTAACTGGGACATGCCAAATCATAGATACGGGGCAGATGTTGCAGTGGCCCTTGATCTGCTGCGTTACTGAGAAATGAACCGGAGGTTGGATAGGGGTTGGGTAGCAAAGAGGGCCATATCCACCATGTATTTTCACAGAACAGTCCTCATACCTCCACTTCAAGCAGGAGAAATGCGTGAGGTGACTCTAATTCAGCGAGGAAGTCACTTTGCACAATGCTCTTTGCCAAGTTAGAGACAGGCCTCTCTCTGCTGCCTGACAATGACAAAAACTGTCTGGCACACCAGCCAATCTGTCAGGAAATGATGGATAGGTCATACTTTGGTTGAACTGCATAGTTGTTCTTATCTTTCTGCATTACTAACTACTGATTTCTTCCAGCTATCTGTGATTATTAAAGGTAATTTGCAAACTGTTTTCCAAGCCAATCCTTATTGAGTTGTTTTATATGATGGAATGTAAGATTAACTGCTACAAAGCCCTGTCCTTCCATTTCAGACCTCAGGGTCACTAAAATTTGGGATCACTGGAACTAGCAGTAACACAGGTAAACATCAGGGAAACCTGCCAGATCCCTGGACCTCTGGCCCTGCAACGCTTTTAGAATTGCTGGGAAAGATAGACACTGAAAAAATGTACTCATAAATTCATAAATTCATACAACGCAAAAAAGGCCCTTTGGCCCATTGAGTCTGCACTGACATAACTACCATGGGTGGCACGGTGGCTTAGCAGTTAGCATTGCTGCCTTACAGTGCCAGGGACCAGGGTTCAATCCCACCCTCAGGCAACTAACTGTGTGGAGTTTGCACGTTCTCCCTGTGTCTGCGTGGGTTTCTGCTGGGTGCTCTGGTTTCCTCCCACAGTCCAAAGCTGTGTGGGTTAGGTAGATTGGCCATGCTAAATTGCCTGTAGCATCCAGGGGCGTGTAAATTAGGTGGATTAACCATGGGAAATGTAGGATTATAGGGAAAGGGTGAGGGATGCTCTTCAGAGGGGCGGTGTGGACTTGTTGGGCCAAGTGGCCTGTTTCTGCACTGTAGGGATTCTATGATACCAGTAACAGTGTGCTAATCCCAATTTCCTGCATTTGTCCCATATCCTTGAAGGTTATGATATTTGAAGTATTCATCCAAATATTTTTTAAAGGTTATAAGGCTTCCAGCCTCAACTACCTTCCCAGGAAGTGCATTCCAGATTCCCACCACCCCTTAAGTGAAAATGTTTTTTCCTAAATCGCCTCTGAATCTCCTGCCCCTTACCCTAAAACTATGCCCTCTCATGATTGACCCCTCAAGCAAGGGGAACAGTCGCTCTGTATTCACTCTGTCCTTAACCCTCATAATCTTATACACCTCTGTTATGTCCCCCCTCCATCTTCTCCACTCTAGAGAAAACAATCCAAGCCTATCTAGTCTCTCAGTGGCTCAATTTCTCCGTCCCAGGCAACATCCTGGTGAACCCCCTTTGTACCCCCTGTAATGCTATCACATCCTTCTTGTAGTGAGGTAACCAGAACTGCACACAGTACTCCAGCTGTGACCTGAACAATGTTCTGTACAACACCAACGTTACCTCCTTGCTCTTATACTCTATGCCACGATGAAAGAAAATGCCCCATATGCCTTCTTAACTACCCTATTAACATGCTCCACCAACCTCAGGGATCTGTGAATAATTAGCCCAAGATCCCTCTGTTTCTCTGAGCTACCCAGTGTCCTGCCATTCATTAAATACTCCCTCATCTTGTTTCTTCCTCCAAAGTGCATCACTTCACACTTATCAGGGTTAAACACCATCTGCCACTGGTGCGCTCATCTGATCAACGCATCCAAATCTTCCTGCAATCTACAACCATTTTCTTTGCTATTAACTACTCTACCAATTTTGGTGTTGTCTGTAAAATTGCTTAACATTCCCCCACATTTTCATCTATATCATTTATATATACAATAAACAATAAGGGTTCCAGTACTGATCCTTATGGCACACCGCTGGACACTGGCCTTCAGTCACTCAAACAGCCTTCCACACTACCCTTTGTGTCCTATTACTAAGCCAGCTCCTAATCCATCTCGTCAAGTTTCCATCAATTCTATGTGTTTTAATCATCTTAATCAGTATCCCATGTTGGATCTTGTCAAAAGCTTTGCTGAAATCCATAAAGACCAGATCATCTGAACTTCCCTCATCCACGTACTTGATCACATTTTGAAAAAAATCCTAACAAATTTATTAGGCATGTCCTCCCTCTGACAAAGCCATGCTGACTATCCCTAACTAACCCTTGCCCTTCCAAGTGGGTTGACTTAATTAGAAGTCTATTGTAACTAGATCCTGCTCTATTTTATAAAATCTGCCTTCCCCCAATACAAAGCCATCTTTTGCAGGCAATCTTTTTCCATGTCCAGAACAAGTTTGAACCGTAACGTGTTGTCCTTGCTATTGCCTAAATGTTCCCCCACTGCCACTTCGAACTCTTGTCTGACATAACTGAGGGTGGGGTGGGTTTGGGGGATGGTGGAAGTAAAGTTCTTTTTTAATGTGTTTTTCCTACCTCATTTTAAGCAGAAGGTTAAAGGAAAATCCAAACAGCAAAGTTAACGCAGTGATTGAAAACTTTATCATGACACAGTACAGGTTTGCACTGTATTCTCATTATTGTGCTGAGGTTCCCAGAACTTCGAGGGAGATGCAAATTGGAAATGGGAAACTTCAACCATGCAATGGATGAAAAATCAGTGGGTGAAAGTATTGAGATTATTTTCAGTGAAATTCCTGTGCTAATGTTTCAAAACCCTCCTTAACCAATGCTGACAGCAGCCACTTGCTGACCTGCACCCAAAGGGGAAGAAACAGATGCAGAAAGAATCCAAAATGGGAATATTTTAGCAAAACGGAGATGGGAATATGTGAACCTGCTAACACTTCTCTAAGTAATGCATGGTTCTAATGGGGAAATATATCATGCTGCTTCATAATTGCTGGATCAAAGCTCTGGAACATCCTGGGTGTGGCCTCCTCATCACAGGCTGTAGCTGTTCAAGGTGTCAGGTCATCAGCACCTTCTCAACCAGAGGTGGACAGTAAATGCTAGCCTTGTCAAAGCACCCTTATCCCATGAATGAATTTTTAAAACATCAATATTTATATATAGGATAACAAGATGAACAGCTGGCTGAACACAGCAGGCCAGGCAGCATCAGAGGAGCAGGAAAGCTGACATTTCGGTTCTGGACCCTTCTTCAGAAATTTTCGAGGAAGGGTCCAGACCCGAAACGTCAGCCTTCAGTAAAATAAATTGTCTGTAGCAGCAGAGAGAGAGAATTCAAGATTTTAGCTGTAGCAAAAAGAGAGAGAAATGTAGCAACTTTCACGACCTCAACAGCTACTGTAACTAAAACTAAAATCCTGGTTCTGTGAGAGCTTTACCCCATCCGTTCATGCTGCTTCTATTGTTCCAAAAAAAACCGCCAAGGCCTCACAAGCTGTTTGCTTTATTAGCAAGACACAGAACCCTTGATTCCTCTGTCTCCACCTTGCTAAATAACACCAGGACAAAATACACCTCATGAAGCCATAGTATCATCACAGAAGTCACAGCAAACAATCTGTTACATAGACCTGATTCTAAGCTGAACGAACTGTTTCAGTGTTAGTCATAGCATAGACGTTTGGCATTTTTTAAACACGTGGATAATGCAAAGAGTCATTTTAAAGATGTGAGAATTCTGAGTTTCTGGGAGAACATTAGACAGAAAAGGATTCACTCAGAATAATGAACTTTTTTGCCTAGTGGGATAATGATTTGTTTAAACTTAATTTAGCAGCCATTTTCCTTTGGTTGTGGCAGATAGATTGTGAAA